GGCAGGTAGAAATTCCCGATCATTCGTTTTTAGGCCCACCAGACTAGAGGTGAGTATGGGTCTATTTTGAGCCAATCCAAAATCAAACCAACTTGATTTGCTTAGTTTGATTTGAGCTTTATATGAGCATATTTAAGCTAAGCCATGTTTGCTCTATACGCCCAACAAGTGAATTAAAAAGGAAAAAAAAATAAGGTAGTCGAAAAATAAATCAAATATACTAACATAATCAATGTTATTCAAGAAACAATACAAACTTCTAATTTTGTTGAGAAAGGGAAAAAAAATATTAAAGTCTACTACATTCAATAAACTAGGGTCGAGCATGAAAACGATGAACGAGAATTCAATAAAATTCAAGAAATGGCTATGCCTGTATTTGTCTTGATTTCCTTGTTAGAGAATAAAGATTGTCGTAGTATCAATGACCAATTTCCCACACTTTATTGATGTAATAGGAACTGACTTATATACACAGCTAGGAAAAACTATGTACGGTAATGTACATCAATTTAGCTAAAACTATGCAGCGATTACAGATTTGCAACAGTTACAAAAATATACAAAATTGATTTTGAATGATCTTGCTTGATTCTTGCAATCTGTCTTTATACACCTCCGCAAGATAGAGCTTCCATCAGCAAGCCCAATCCTGTTTCTCAAGATTTCTGTTCTTTGTCTTGACAATGGTTTTGTCAACAGGTCAGCCAATTGATCTTGTGTATGAACATGTCGAACTTGGAGAGAGCCACGTTGAACAAGATCACGCACAAAATGAAGATCGATTTGTATATGTTTCATGCGTGAATGTTGGACTGGATTGAAACTTAGGTGCGTAGCACCAAGGTTATCACACAGTAGAAGGGGGTTGCTTTTAGGGGAAACCCCAGCTCATGAAGAAGGGCCAGAAGCCACATTGTCTCGGATGCCGCATTTGCAAGAGCTCGGTATTCAGCTTTGATGGTAGATCTTGCAACTGCTCTTTGTTTCTTTGAGCTCCATGAAATGGGATTTGGGCCTAAGACGCTGATATAGGCAGATGTGGAGGTACCATAATCAACATTTCCAGCTCAATCGGCATCGGAATAGGTAACTAAGCTGGAGGTCCAGATTTTGTGAGCTGTATACCATGGAAAATGGTTTGCTGTAAGTACCGAAGGAGACTTTTTGTTTCTGTGAAGTGAGTGGTGGTAGATTTGTGCATGAATTGGGACAACTTGTTGACCGCGAATGAAATATCTGGACGTGTCAAAGAAAGATATTGCAGGCTGCCAATAATTCTTCGAAATTCTGTGTTGTCCACATTTGCTGTGCCATCAATTAACTTCAGATACTGAGTTGTTGAAAGAGGAGTGGAGACATCTTTGGCGCCACTCATGTTGGTATTGGACAATAGCTCTCGAATGTACTTGTGTTGTGAGAGAAAAAGTCATGCCTGAGTAGGTACAACTTCCACACCTGGGAAGTAATGAAGTAGACCCATATCCTTGAGAGAAAAATGATCTCCTAGTTGCTTGAAAAAAAAAAAAGAAAAAAAGATCTCCTAGTTGCTTGATAATTGAAGCCACAAAATTTCTGTTATTTCCTGTAATCACAAGATCATTGACGGATACCAAGAAATAACAAATTATAGAGTCATTTCTATAAATAAATAAGGACGAATCAGCTCTGGAATTTTCAAACCCAAGCTCAAGCAGTACATTTTTTAGTGTAGTGTACCAAGCTCGAGGGGCTTGTTTAAGCCCATATTTGCTTTTTGGAGCCTGCAAACATGATTGGGTTTAGATGGATCTTTGAATTACACAATTGAGAATTTATTTTTTTGTTTTAGCAACAGGAAGAGAATTTTTTAACAAGATGTTGGACTATTCGAAGAGATGAATGCCCAAGACGCTTGTGCCACCCATCAATTGAGGTCCGTTTATGCACATTAGCAACCATTTTGGAGGGAGGGGACATCATTGATTTGGGCAATGATATTGAGAGCAATGAGTTGTTTATCTGTTGTGGAAGGAGGTTGGGTGTTGAGGATAAAGGTTGGATTTTGATCGGAGGAGGAAGACATAGAGGAGACTTTGGATTGTTAAAATCAGTGCTCAATTTTTTTGAGGCTTAAACGGATCGAATTGTTCGTTGGAGTTTAACGGGCTTTGATACCATGTTAGAGAATAAAGATTGTCGTAGTATCAACGAACAATTTCCCACACTTTATTGATGTTATAGGAGTTGACTTATATACACAGTTAGGAAAAACTATTTACGGCAATGTACGTCAATTTAGCTAAAACTATGCACCGGTTACAGATTTGCAGCAATTACAAAAATATGCAAAATTGATTTTGAATGATCTTGCTTTTGTTAAGGAGGAAGTTCCGAAGGCGAACCCCCCACCTTTGCTGTAGGCCCCTCAGTCGGCGGGTTGTAAATCGAAGGATATGCACGAGTGGCAGGACCTGAGGGAGAGAGCCAACAGGACACGATCCTTAATTCAGGAATCGAACCTGCGTTACCGGAGGATTTCTCCCCATGTCACCTCAGGCCTTACCAACTCGCCTATGCCCCTGGGGGCTTGAATGATCTTTGCTTGATTGTAGGCTAGATGTGCTATGTTCAGTCTTGGCCTCGATTCTTGCAATCTGTCTTTATATTCCTATCACAGTATTTTGCTATGTCTTTGTTATTTTCATGTCAAGCATGAAAGAAAATAGTCGTAATGACATTTCCTTATCTTCCACCAATCTCGAAAATTGTAGAGCGGGTATTAATATTGTATTTCAGTCAAAAGATCTGAAATAGCAAAGTCTTGAGTAAAAATAACACTTGGACCAATTATAGTGCTTAAAAATTTTTGATATTTTTTTCGGAATTATATGAATAAGTGAGAAATTCATCATGTAAGGTCAAACTATAAAGAAAGGAAGAAGGCGAGCTATAATTATGTCCTATTAAAAATTCATTATGTGTCGAATATCATGATAGTTAAATTTAAAGCTCTGATATCAACTGAACTTCACCACAATTACAATAATGAAAGTCTTATCAATATTCCGATTGAACACATGTTAGGGATTTAACAAAAAGTATTAATACCAGTGGAATGAAAAATAATTTAGATGGTGGAAGGTTAGATAATGGTGAAGATTTTAGTTTTATAAATAATTATTAATTGAACGTAACTTATTTTAAATCGTGTTTGGCAATCTTGAAAATCATGTTTAACAAAATAAAATATTTTAAAGCTATGTTTTACTTACTTTTAAGCACTAATAGACATGCTTTAAACTTCGGTTTGTACGAATTAGATTTAAAGAAAGAAGTAATTAGTTTCGATGATTTATTTGAACTACTTTACACATCAAAATGAATTCGAGCTATCTAAACTTTATTCGAGCAATTAAAAGTTTCATGCTAAACAATAACAAACAAGAACACAATTTCTTAAATGTTGATGACACATTAAGTTAGA